GATGCCCTCACCCCTGAGCTACATTACCCTGCTTCATTCATTCTTTCTTTTGCTTGATTCCATTAAACACCTGTTTATTAGCACCTATATGAGGACATTGTTGGGTACTAAAGATCCATCTCACATAAAACACTGCCCTCATGGCAGCAGGAGCACATCCACTTACAGGTATGGCTGCTGGAATGCGGCCTCAGGTCGACCTTTCCTGGGCTGCAAAGCAGCTCTGTTGCTTTCCTCCCCAACAGGGACTTTGCCACCTCATCAGATTCCTTAATGACAGCCTGGGTAGTGGGTATGTCTTTCCTATCTGAGATAGCTACAGGGGACACCATGGAGAACTCGAGTGGAGACTGTGCCCATGAAGGCACTTTACTGTCTGTTCACTGTGGCATCCCAGCTCCCAGCACTGAGCTTGACCGAGTGAGTCCTCCATTAGTGTGGCCGGGGGTGAACCCACAGTGGGCTACTGAATGAAAGTGGTAATTCAGGTGAGAGCAGACATCATCCTTTGGAACCTGGCTCAAACAAGGCGGCACCACCAGCAAAGAATGCAGAAAATGACAGGTTTGTCTGGTGAATTGGCCTTTGGTTAGTGAACAAGCCTGTGGGAGCCCGAGGGGAGTGAAGGGTGCATGAACCACTGTGCCCTTCCTGCTACTCCATAAGCTTTTCAAGTTCAGTGTTGGACAGGGAGACTCTCAGGGGCTCAGACCATTCTTAGGAGGGTTTGGAGTTCTGGGGCATTGAACTTGACTCAGAGACACTGTCCATCTACGGGAGCTCGATGGGTGTGTGCCTCCTATAATTTGGGGAGCTTCAGGGATGGGACTTCTGATAGAATCTGATGGCTGGATTCAGATTCCTTTCTAGGTTAGGAGCCTGGAATAGTGGAAGGTGGAGGGGCTCTGCAATGAGTTACCCAAGTCCCAGTCAAGGAGGCTGTGGACTCGACTGTCACACTGACACAGACTGAGTACTAACGCCATACCATCTCATCCCCTGCAACTTAATGACCCAATCCTGTGGCTGGACCTTTACTAAGCACCAAGGAGTATGTGTTGACAACCAGTCACTGTGTATTTGCTGTGCCCCAGCTTTGTCCATGCACTGAGCTAGCTCTGTTGTCAGACAGGGGCTTCTGGCTTCTTCCCTCAGGAACTTTCCTTGTAATGTCTTGGGGGCTCCATTTCACTGATTTGAAATTATATTTAAGAAATATATATATATATATTTATATATATGTTTTTTGAGACAGAGTTTCACTCTTGTTGCCCAGGCTGTAGCGCAATGGCATAATCTCGGCTCACCCCAACCTCTGCCTTGAGGCAGGTTCAAGGGATTCTCCTGCCTCAGCCTCCCAAGTTGCTGGGATTACAGGCATGTGCCATCACATCCAGCTAATTTTGTATTTTTAGTAGAGATGGGTTTTCTCCATGTGATCAGGCTGGTCTCGAACTCCTGACCTCAGGTAATCTGCCTGCCTCCCAGAATGCTGGGATTACATACGTGAGCCACCACACCCGGACAAGAAATATTGTTATTTAAAGATGACGTTGATTGAATTGAATACTTTCTTTCTGAATGCCTGCTCAGGACAACATTACAAAGACACATGTAATTGGTACATGTCTCCCTACATCCCCAGAAGAGTGGGAAGCACTTTGAATTTGAGGTCGAACAGAATCTCAGGTTCAAACCGTGGCTGGATCCTGATAGTTAGCTGACCCTGTCTGAACCTCAACTTCCTCACTCTTAAGATGGGGATGGTAATAGTTCCTACCTCCTAGGCTGGTGAGGAGGAAGAAAAGAGAACAAATACATAGGCCTCCTGCATAGTATCTGGCCATCATCACAGTATGTCCTGATGTTTGCAAATCAGGGCGTTACACTGTATTGAGGCTGTCTGGGATGCTCCTCGAATATATCAGGGATTTGTATCCCGGTAAATCTCCTTCTGTTGGAGTTTTGTGCCCTGTATGGGTAGGGGCGTGTCAGAGATGCCCCCCAAGTGGACAGCAGCTGCTCTGCCTGCCACTGGGCTACTCCACCCAGTGGCTTTGTGCCAGCCCCCGCTGCTTCCCTCTGTCAGGGGAGATGGGGATGAAAGTCTCCTCACCGGCCTCCTTGCCTCTAGGTTACTCCTCTGCAAGGCTCATCCATGCCACACTGCAGCCTTTTGGAGACACCATGTACAAGTCCCTCCTTTGCATGGCCCATGTGGTGTCTCCCCGCTGCTCTGGTCTGTTTCTGTATTTCAGGGCTCTGCCTGCTCCCCACCTAAATCTGTGCCCCACCTCCTCCGGTCACCTTGCACTCCATCCATCGCAGGTGAGTGCAGTTTCCTGGGCAAGCGGAGCACCCTCCCACCTCTTCGCCTTGGTAGGAGCCATCCTCTCTTCCTGGAGCACCTGCCTCCTTCTATACTTGATTCCTGAAGAACTCTTGGAGTACCGTGGTTCTCCCTCACCCACACTGGGTTAGACATTCCCTTTTTGTTCCTAGAGCACCAAGCACAGTGTGGTCAATGCCTGTTACTGTTCTGGACTCTGACCTTCATGCTTTGTGGTTGAGGATGAGGACAGTACCTTGTGTCATACGGCTGCCGTGAGAACAAAATGGCGTGTGCATACAAAATTCTTAGCGTGTAGGAAGTCTCTGGTCACTGTGGTGATTACAGCCATTACTAGTAAGACCCTAGTGCCTGGCCTGTGACCAGTATACAGCAGGAGCTCAATGAAGATTTGAACAAAGAACCTAATCCTACCTCCTTCATGGACTGGGGGGTTTCTTGGCCACAACCACCCCCAATACCCAAATATCTAGGGCTTGCCCCTTCATGCTTAGTGGTTTTCTCAAGGCTGTTCAAGCTCAAAACTTGAAGGAAATGGCAGCAAATTGTGGAGAGTTAATGTATTTCGAATTTTAAACCTAATTGTGCCTTCTCCAGGGTAGGCTGGATGTGAGTCTTCTTTGGTAAGGGATGCAGGCTGGGACCTGCCTCTCACTGCCTGCCTGAAACCCTGGCCAGGCTCCGGGAGAGGGTCCTCCGGGGAGCATCTTCATGATACCTGTTCTTGGGAGAGCGGGGTGTGAATAATTTCCACCAACGACACAGATGCCGTGTGGATAATCCGCAGTGTTCACGACGCAATTCAGCACACGCTGCACGCATTCATGTATTCACTACCGAGACACCTTCACTTCCAAAGGCAAAAATCTGGAGTTTTAACGTTATTAGCTGCAGGAGCACGTGGAGGTAAGAAAACCTGGCTGAGGAGCCGAGCATTTGCTAGGCGGCCTGTTTGTGATGGCAAAAAGGGAGCTTTCTGCATCCAGGCTGCAGTTCCTGATGCCCTGGGTCACAAGAGAATCAAATATGGTTCTCGACCGGGCTTGTGCCGGGCCTGTGAACTCAGAGATAAAATGACCAGGTGGGGTTCCAGGGAAGGTAAAGTAGGGGGAGCGGCTGGGGTACGCATAAGAGGGGGTGACTGTGTAGGTTGCGGGGCTTTAACTGGGGTCCTAGAAGAGGCTCTGTGTCCAGGAGCAGAAGAAAGAAGGGGGATGTCGGGGCCATCCCTTCTCCCCAGAAGGTTTGAGGACCCCCGAGGCCAAAGCCAGCAAACGTACAAGGCCAGGAGTTCGAAGCCTACCGGGTCCCGCAGTGAGAGACAGGGCAAGGTGGGCTCATCCTCCCGATTACCGCGGGGACACTTTCAATGGGGAGGGGTCCCCGTCCCACGGCCCCACCTGGCCAGCCCGCTGGGCAGCTTGGGCCGCGGAGGGGGCGTCAGAGTTCGAGGGCTTCACCCCCGCCGCTCCACCCAGCCCCGGCCCTCGAGTGCCCTTATTTTCCTGTACAAGTCTGGCCCGGGGGCGGCGGGGGCGGGCGGGGCGCCGGTCCCCTCGCTCGGGCCGCGGAGCTCGGCTCCCGCCCGGGCACCCGCGGGGGCGCGGCTGGCGTGACGTCACGCGCCCCGCCCCCGCGCCCCGCCCCCTCCCCACATTCCGGGCGGGGCGGGCCGGGGCTGGCGGGGCTCACCCGCCCCAGCCCCCACCCCAGGGGCCGCCCCTCCCGTCGGGCCGCGCCTCCCCGTCGCGGGCCGCGACCCCGCCCGGACCGCGGACTCCGCCGGCGAGAGGCCGAAGCCGCCGCGGCCGCAGCCGTTGCCGCCATTGACGTCAGAGGGGCGGGCACATGACCCCGCGGGGACCAATCGCGCGGGCGCCCCGGGCTCCGCGAGCCCAGAGCGCGGCCCGCCCCGCCCGCGGCCACTCTCGCCCGGACTGCCGCGCGGACACACGCTCCGTACACACGCGCGCGGCGGCGCGGGGCCCCGAGACACACCCGCCCCCGCCCCGGCGCCCGCCCTCCTCGCCCGGCCCCAGCCCGCCCTCGGCCTCCCCCGCCCCTCCCCGCCGCCCGCCGAGCCAGGTCCGCCGCCGCGGTCATGCACCCGACGAGCTAGGAGGAAGCCGGGAGCCCCGCAGGAAGCGCCGAGGCCGGCCCAGCCCGCCGCACGCGCCGCCCCCTGCGGGCAGCGCCCCCTCCCCTGCGGGCGCCCCCAGCCCCACACCCCCCCACCTTCCCGGGGGGTGGGGGGGTGCGGGCCGCCGGATCCGGGGGCCCCGCCGCCCCAGCAGCCCAGGACAGCCCCCTCTCCCCGCCTGCAGCCCCCTCCCCCGGCGCGGCCATGGATGTGACCAGCAGCTCCGGAGGCGGCGGCGACCCCCGGCAGATCGAGGAGACCAAGCCGCTGCTGGGGGGCGACGTGTCGGCCCCCGAGGGCACGAAGATGGGCGCCGTGCCTTGCCGCCGGGCTCTTCTGCTTTGCAACGGGATGAGGTACAAACTGCTGCAGGAGGGCGACATTCAAGTCTGTGTCATCCGGCACCCGCGGACCTTTCTCAGCAAGATCCTCACCTCGAAATTCCTGAGGCGCTGGGAGCCGCACCACCTAACGCTGGCCGACAACAGCCTGGCGTCCGCCACGGTGAGTGGCTCTGCGCGGCTGCACCCCCGCCTCCCCTCGGGGCCCGAGATGCGCCCTCCCTGGCTGCCCCCCGGCGCTGCACCTGGAGCCCAGGGCCTGGGGGGCGGTGGGGGGTGGCGGGGAGAACCGGGAGAACCAGGGCGCCCCGCTCCTGGCCTGCTCGCGGGGCTCGATTTTGGAGTCTGAAGCCCAGACCAGCCGGCCGGGCTCGAGAGAGACCCTTAGAATGCTGGGGACTCAGCCCACCCTCAGGCTGGGTGCCTGGGGACCTTCTGCCCCCAGCTCTTGTGTTTCTGGTGGCTGGGACCGGGGGATGGAGCTGATGCTGGGCCCAGATGGTGGTGGGGGTTCTTTTCTCTGGAAGCCCCTGGCCCATCTGGATCTGAGGAGTGGGGGAGGGGAAAACAAAACACCACCTCTCAAATTAAAACAAACAAACAAACAAAAAAACCCAACACAACAAAACCTCGAAACCCCAAACCCAAAGAATTTCCAGAAGCCAGTTCCTCTCTCTGGTTTACCCGTCCTTTATTCTCTTTCCTGCCAGGGCTGGCAGGCAGAACCAAGTGCTTCCCTTTCTGAAAATCTCATTCGCACATTGGGAGGTTGGAAGTGGAGGGGGAGGGGGCAGTAGTCCTGGAATATCTCAGGACTCAGCTGTGGTCGAGCTCTGGCTTGGGAGCTGCTTGGTCGAGCCCCGGTCCGGCATTGTCTGTAGAGTGTGTGTATACGTGTGTGTTTTGTTGCTGGAGATTTAATTTTGTTATTGTTTTTAAAGATGTGGCTAGGACTGGGTCAGCTGGATGGGTCGGAGAGGAGAAACCATTGATCTTTTCTGAAATCAGATCTGCAAATGGTGGCCTTCTTCTTACGTGGAGAAAGACAGCTGTGGTGGGGTCAGGGGGAGAGTGGGGGTAGCGGGTAGGAGCCTGAACAGGATGCTTTGTGTTTTGAAACAAGGACAGTTTGAAATACAGGCTGTGGTTTGGGCCTGAGCCTTGCAGTGGGGGTCCCATCCTCTTTGGAGGGGTGGCTTGTCCTCCCTAGAATGCACACTCCCCCTTGGGGCCACCGTGATCCTGTTTACTAAGCACAGTGGGAGGGGGCCGAATCCACTGCCTGCCCACACCTGTGCCAAGAAAACCCAGCCAGGAAACAGGGTGTCGCTTACATGGCATGTCACAAACGTGTAGCGTGTGTAGACATTTCCCCGGCATCCATGTTCCCTTGGCGGTGTGTCACAGGCCATGACACATGTCCCAAGGAATGGGGAGGGGGGAAAAGTTAGCCGAAGAATCCTGCTCCTGGAATCAACCCCCACTCCCCACCTCAGAGCATTGCAGCGCTTGAGGACTTTTATTCTGAATTTGGGGTCCGACATGCTTAGAGCACCTATTTTATGTTTCCTGTGGGCACGTTGGTGCAATATCTGCAAAGACTCCTTTCTCAGGGAGAATTGCTGGTCGTCGGAGGCGGTCCAGTCCCCAGTCAGGCTGGTGCATGTTCTCAAGCTTGTCCCACACCACAGGCCTCAGCATTGGGCTTTCCAATGGATGGAGGGAGAGCCTGCCTTCCAAAATTTGCCAGTACAGATTATTTCTGATATGGGGAGGAACTGGTGACCATGGAATCCTCTGCCTGGGATCTGGAGACCTCAGATCTGGCTTCAGAATTTTCACCTGGCTCAGGGGGATTTTTTTTTTTCTCTTCCACCCCACAAAATGAAGAGGAGTTGAGCGGGGAGGAAAATGGTTAGAAGAAGGGACAGTGACCTGCCATGGGAAGGCCAGGCTGAGGCCCTGCTTTCCCTGGAAGAAGCCAAGAGTGAGTGTCCCGCTGTCACTGTCCTCAGTTTGCGAGGCTAATGGCTCCCCACTTACCTCCGATTGCTCAAGAGGTATGTCTCAGAAAGAGAGGAAAGGAAGAAAGACCGGAATAGCCAGAGGCCCCTAGCTCACCTTGGCCAGCCCAGGTGGGTGTCACCTGTGGTAGCATGGATCTCTCTGGAGAGCACCTGTCTGGTGCTGGGGACTGAGGCTTACCCATGGAGCAAGATTCCTCTTAGCAGAACCATGCTCTGGCTTTAGGAAATGTGGCAACAGGAGCTACCAGGAAGTGTCCGATGGGCTGGCTTAATCCCCTTTCTGTTGCCTTTCATCACCAAGCCCTGCAGGCAAGGGGTGTCCTTAAGTCTTGCCCTTGCCCCCTGGTGGGCTCCAGAGGGCCTTGCCCCAGGGCCTGTGAGTGTGGAGGTGGGGCCTGTGAGTGTGAGGGCTGGCCTGGCTGGAGCGCTGGCCTCCAGGGCAGAGTTGAGATTGGGACTGCCACCTGGGCCCTTGTCCCATCATGAGACACCTGGTTGGTGTCCAGGCTCTTGGGGAAGCAGAGGCGCCCCTGTGGGGTTTCCCTGAGGCCTGGGCATTATGTAATCTGTCTGCGTTTTATAGTGCGGCCCAAGCACTCTATTGAGAAATATGAGTCCAAATGAAACAAAGGTGAATTCGAGTGCGGTTCCCTACAACAAAAATCCTTTGCAGTCCTGTGGCTTTGCAGCAGCCCCTGGCCCAGCCCTGAGCTGCCGGTATACCAAGTATGTTTCCTGTAGAGTCATACCCTACTTAAAATATCAATCATTCGTATTTTAAGCTGTCTACACAGCCTAACTCAGAATCATCTGGTAAATATCTGGTTAATTGCATGGGCTTCAGAAACAAGACCCAGAGTGATTGATATGGAGTCAAACCAATAAACAAACCAAATACTCTTTTTTGCCCAAACCTTCTGCAGTCTGTCTCCATTGATCCAATTAAATGAATCGTGAGAGATTTAAGACCAGACTTGTAGGAGCACAGCTGCATCAGGCTGGGATGCAAGCGTACTGGAGCTCCCAGTCCCAGCTGGTGGGTGACACAGCTAGGTAGACCTTTTAGTCTGGGGTCCGGGGACCTGACACCCCTCCAGGTTGTCTTAAGGGAGGAGCCACCAGCTTCACCCAGCTGGCCTGCCTGTTAACTTTGCCTCCTGTGGGATCAGGTCAGAGCTTGCCCTGCCCTGGTCTCCTGGGCCAGTTACTGATTAAATCCTTGCTGAGCGAACAGCGTGCCTAACGTCGCTTGTGATGGCTGCCAGGTCTGATGAACCTGTGCTGGGAGACTTTGGATCTGAAACGCTCATAAACAAAGGAGGAAGCAGACAGGCAACAGCTGACTTGGGAGGGGGATGGGGAGGCCAGGGCCCCCTCCCTGGGTGGCCCAGGACAGCACTTTTGTGGGGAAGGGCCCGTCTGCCCAGGCTGTGGCCTGAATGTGGTGCCCCATTCTCTCTTCGTACTCAAACTTGTCAGTCTCTGGGCCTCACTGGCTCTTCATGGCTGGTGATGGTGTTGTCAGTTGTAAATGACAGCCAGGGCAGCCAGGGGTTCTGCATAAGTGGCTGGGTTCAGCAGGACAAGAATCCATTTTGCTGTTCTTGTCTCTGGGTTGAATTTGATCACCTGCTAGACATGTATGTCTGTGGGCAGAGGGCTTTGTCTGTAGGCTTTGTTTCTTCTGCACCAGAGAAGTACAAATAAGCTGCTTACCTTTTATTTCATCTTACTTTTAAGACATTGTGACACACGGTATTTCAGAATGGTGGATCCAGGCAGAGAGTTCTTTATTGATTTACCAAACAGGGGTTGGGGCCTAGGTGACAGTAGTGTTCTTTATTCCGAAGCCATAACTCATCAGTGGCTCCTTTTTAAATTGTCACCATTCCGCTGTTTGATTGAAATGCTTCCGGGCATCTTGTTATGGATGAGAAAGGAGAAGCCACCTTCATTCTCATTGCTTTCTTTAGTCTGGTGTTTCCTTGGTGGGGAGCAGCCGTTGTCTGAACTCGCACTTTGTTTAGCCCATGCTTATTGCACACCTACTGTGCGTCACTTGCTTAGCAAAGAGTTACACATCTAGATGGCTTGGTTTCTACTTGAAAATTAAAATCCGTGTCTTCCAGGATAGTCACAAATCCCATGAGAACTCATCTGTGTGCGCATGCACACATGTTAATTGCTTTTTCACTTTTGTCACTTATGCCCCCTTCCCCCCATGTGCCCAGCCTGCCTTTAGTTTATTTTTTAATTTTATTTTATTTTTGAATAGAGACAGGGTTTCACCATGTTGGCTAGGCTAGTCTCGAACTCCTGACCTCAGGTGATCTACCTGCCTCGGCCTCCCAAAGTGCTGGGATTACAGGAGTGAGCCACCGTGCCCAGCCGCCTTTAATTTATTTAATGTTTTTTTGCGGCAGTAAACACGGAGATTTTTTCCCCCCTTTTCATGCCTTTTGTCATAGGAGGATTTTGGAGTGTATCAAAATTGTTTCCTAGACAACTTGTTTGATGTGAGGTGGTGGAGGGGAGGGGCTGAGACAGAGAGGAGAAAAAGTCAAAATTCTCTGTAAACCACAAATGTGGTCTGCCTTCCTCAGGCTGTAGTAAGTAAGTGCATTTTAAGGAGGGAGTAAGTTTTGATGCTGCCATTTGCCTGGTGTAATCTGAGATGCCTGTTCTGGCCGTGGCAACATTGTGCCAGTCCAGGTAGAAGGAATTTCACTGCATGTGGCTGAGCTTTCCTGCAAGCAGGTGACAGAGGTGTCAGCTGCTGCTGGCTTGGGCTCCTGGGCCCACAGGTTGCTGGTATAATGGCCCTGCCTACTCCTCAGTTTCTCATCTGGCAGTGAGAGAGGGCATTTCTGGGGTACTGTCCTGGGCAGGGCGCAGGGGGACTTGGTAGAAGACAAAGCTGTCCAAGGTCACCTCAACTGCTGCCAGCGAGGGCTGACTTGTCTTGAGAATACCCACCCGATTGGTGTTTTGTTGGCATGGACATTGCAGGGGGGTCAGCTTACACCTTTGATTAAAGGAATACCTGAGATTAAGTGAGGCTTCCTGGCATAGGGCATCTCCGCTGTAGGGCCAAACAAACTTGGGCTTTGTGGTCTCGTGGCTCTGCATCTGGGTTCGGAGGGTGCCGTTTCCTGGCTGTGTGACTTTTGGCGCTCTTTTTTCCCTTGCTGGACCTTCTTTTTTTCTCCATCCTTAGGGAGGAGCACCTCATGTCTAGGGTTGCTGTAAGGATTGCAGAGGATGGATAAGCACCTTCTAGTGTAGTCCACATACAGTGACCAGGATTCCAATTCCTGTTTTGCTGATTGCCCTGAAAGAGCTTCATGACATTCTGTACAAATGGAAGGGATTATTGTTGCCTAAAAATGGGTGGTCTCCAGAGAGTTCCCAGAGATGAACAGTGCGTTGGGGAAAGTTAGGGGTATTTAGCAGGTCTCATTGGTATAAGGCAGTGAAATTGTTGCAAGCAGTTTAAGAAAATTCCTTGGGGGGGCGTAGTCTAGTTTCTTAAAAAGACGTTAAAAAAATTGAAAAACTCATATATGCATCAAGTCGATTTGATTAGTACAACAAGGCATGTAATGGAAAATGAAGCTTCTCTTACTCAAGGCCCACACAGCCCCCAGTGGCCCTCCTTGGAGGCCAGGCTGCTGCTCATTTCTGGACATGTACACACAGCGGTCCATCATGGTTCTTCACTGGACGGAATGTTTTGGAGACCCTTCATGGGTGTGCAGCTGCCTTGCTCTCTTTCACCGTGGCATAGTGTTCTGTTAGAGTGATGTACCTACGGTAATGAGGGTAGACCCTCCCATATTGTTGGGCATTGAGGTTACTCCCAGACTCTTTAATATGGTTTGGATGTGTCCCCACTTAAATCTCATCTTGAATTGTAGCTCCCATAATTCCCTTATGTTGTGGGAGGGACCTGGTGGGAGATAATTGAACTGTGGGGGCGGTTTCCCCCATACCATTCTCATGGTAGTAAGTCTCACCAGATCTGATGGTTTTATAAAAGGAAACCCCTTTCACCTAGCTCTCTCATTCTCTTGTCTGCCACCATGGGAGACGTGCTTTTCACCTTCTACCGTGATCTTGACGCCTCCCCAGCCACGTAGAACTGTGAGTCCATTAAACCTCTTTCTTTTGTAGATTGCCCAGTCTCGGGTATGTCTTTATCAGTCCAAATGGACTGATGCAGTCTCGTTCCTTCAGAGAAGACATTTGCTATTTTTATGCAGTGGAGTCGTCTCTATTTTGATAGTTTGCATGTTCTTTTGCCTACTTCTTTGGGAGTGGGGAGCCGAGCCTCTTCTTGAAGAGGGAAGGGCAGTGTTGACTGGAGTTATTGCTACCAGGAGTCATGCTTTGGTCTGGCTAAAGGTCACCAACCAGGGATCCCCCTCAAAGGGTCTGGCCACTTGGTTTCCCCTGGAGCTGAAGGAACGCAGCTGACCAGGGGGCTCTGACAAGGACACGCTGACCTCCACCCCCAGGACAAGGGTCTGCACAGCTCCACCTGAGGGCATCGTTTTCTGTTCCCCAACTTTCAGCTTTCCCCAGGATGGAAGCCAGGCCACCCAGCCCCATGGTAGAGAAAGAGGAAGTGAGAATTTCTCTTCCTTGCCCCTGGGTCTGGTGATGAGCCACCCAGTGTATTCAACAGGCATCAAGGGAGACTGTGTGCGTTTTGAAAGGAAGCTTCGCTTACATCAGCAGAGTCCTAACCGATGTGCATGTGGGGGAGGTGTTTGGTGTGTGTATTGAGGCAAGAGATGGCAGAGAAAATACTTCTGGTGCTGAAATTGGTTCCTGACTTCAGCAGCCATTTCCCTACTCCTCCCATGTGCACAGCACTTGTCCTGGCATTTGGGGTGCGCATTGAGGGCACAGGAAGAGAACCCCGGGCAGACCGAGTGGAGTTGGGGTGTGAGGACCTGGACTTTGAAATCAGACAAGGGAGCTTGAATCCTGCCTCAGCAATGTCCCAGGAGGTGACCTTGGGCGGGCCCCCTGGCCTGTGTCCTTATCTGTAAAACGAGGATCAGAGAGACTTCCTCTTAGCATTGATGCTGACAAGTAAGTGAGGTGAGGCCCCGCGGGTGCCTTCATGCCCTCCTTCAGCAGGTAAGTGTCACCGGTCTAGGCACTTGGAAGAAAACAAAAGCCTGCCCTTGTGGAGCCTGTGTTGGTGGGAGTGGGTGACAGACAACTAAGTTAAGAGCAAGTAATTAGGCCTAGCCAATACGATGAAACCCCGTCTCTACTACAAATAAAAAAATTGGCAGGGCGTGGTGGCTCACGCCTATAATCCCAACGTTTTGGGAGGCCAAGTGGGCAGATCACAAGGTCAGTAGTTTGAAACGAACCTGATTAACATGGTGAAACCCCGTCTCTACTAAAAATACAAAAATTAGTCTGGCATGGTGGCACACACCTGTAATCCCAGCTAGTTGGGAGTCTGATGCAGGAGAAGAGCTTGAACCTGGGAGGTGGAGGTTGCAGTTAGTGGATATCGTGCCATTGCACTCCAGCCTGGGGGACAAAAGTGAGACTTCGTCTCAAAAAAAAAAAGAAAGAGGCCAGGCGCAGTGGCTCACACCTGTAATCCCAGCCCTTTGGAAGGCCGAGGCGGGCAGATCATGAGGTCGAGAGATCGAGACCATCCTGGCCAACATGGTAAAACCCCATCTTTACTAAAAACACAAAAAAAATTATCTGGGCGTGGTGGTGCGTGCCTGTAGTTCCAGCTGCTCATGAGGCTGAGGCAGGAGAATTGCTTGAACCAGGGAAGCAGAGGTTGCGGTGAGCCGAGGTCGCGCCACTGCACTCCAGCCTGGCACCTGGTGACGGAGTGAGATTCTGTCTCAAAACAAACAAACAAACAAACAAACAATCAAAAAAGAAAGAAAGAAAGAAATAAAAGCAAGTGATGATAAAATCTGATGACCGGGATCATGGAGAAAAGCAGGTAGGCAGGTGGGTAGAGCGAGTGGCGGACTGCTTTGTACAAAGTGGTCAGGGAAGGGGGCGATAGGACTTCAGGGGGAGGAGCGTTCCAGATAGGGGAATGGCAAGTGCAAAGGCCCTGAGGCAGGAGATCTTATTTAGAAGTCACCTGGTAAAGTGGCTGGTACCTAGTACATGCTCTGTGATTGTCAGTTTCCTTCCCCCTCCTCTCCGGAGCTGCTGTTATCTATATAAAAAATTTATGACCACGTACAATGTGCTAGGTGCCAGGGACACAGGCAGCTCCTTGCCCCTAAAGCTTCCATTCTGTTGCTTCTGTTGTGTGTTTTTCTTCTGTTTTTTTTGCAAACCTGGCTACCTCCTAATAAATAGCAAAGAATAGCTCTGTAGCAGTGCTTTAAGAGACTCTTAAATGACAAAGCCCAGCAGATTTTTTTATTTTCAGATGGAGTCTCGCTCTGTCACTCGGGCTGGTGTGCAGTGGCGTGATCTTGATTCACTGCAACCTCCACCTCCTGGGTTCAAACAATTCCCCTGCCTCAGCCTCCCAAGTAGCTGGGACTACAGGCGAGTGCCACCACACCCAGCTACTTTTTGTAGTTTTAGTAGAGGTGGGTTTCACTGTGTTAGCCAGGATGGTCTCGATCTCCTGACCTCGTGATCCACTTGCCTTGGCCTCCCAAAGTACTGGGATTAGAGCCACCGTGCCCAGCCTTTAAGACATTTTTCTTTTTTTCCTGAGATGGAGTTACCCAGGCTGGAGTGCAGTGGTGCGATCTCAGCTCACTGCAGCCTCCACCTCCTGGGTTCAAGCAATTCTCCTGCCTCAGCCTCCCGAGTAGCTGGAATTACAGGCATGCACCAACACACCCGGCTAATATTTTTTTAATTTTTAGTAGAGATGGGGTTCCACCATATTGGCCAGACAGATCTCATACTCCTGACCTTGTGATCTGCCCGCCCCGGCCTTCCAAAGTGCTGAGATTACAGGTGTGAGCCACCATGCCCTGCCTCCGGCCTTCAGGATTTTAAAAAACCAATTCCCATCATCCATAACTGCACTCTAAGGATCCTAGGATTTAGAATACACTAGTGGTCTGATTCACCTCTGGTTTTGCTGGTGGGGAAGGGGTGAGGAGAAGTGTGTGGTCCAAGGACCCTTGCAACTGTCTCAGCAGCCCACCTGGAATTCAAACCCAGACTCCTTCCTTTCCCTCATCCCTGTTCATGGCTCTGCTGCTTTCAAGCTGCTGTCGGAAATAGGGTGGAGAGACCCACCAAACTGATTGTGCTGGGTGAACTCTGTTTGGAGGGAAGCACACGGTCTGGGTTGTCCAGTCCCTGGGTACGTGTAGGAATGTTTAGGAATCAGACGAATCTGGGAGCTTCCCTTTCTGGGCTACGCTGGCTGCATCCAGCTCAGGTGGGGTCATTTGAAGAGGGAGGATCACACTGGGACTTCTGCTGGCTTCTCTGGGTGTCCTGGGCCAGTGCCAGTTTCCTTAGTGGTCCAGAATATCTAAAAATTGGAGCATACAATCTGAGCAGACCCAGGCCTGGCTCTCCCCCCTCCCATGTTGGCTCCCTGTGTGGACTAGTTGACCCTGTTTACCACCACACGCACTGGTGTGAGGTTCCGCAGGGAAGGGGAGCCATGGATATGGAAGGGGCTGTGTGTTCGCCAGGCAGGTTAGCCGCTGTAACATGCTGCCCTGGCATCTGGGTGGCTTCGTGCAGCCCAGTTTTTGCAGTCCTTCCGGGCTCCCCTAGGTCCTTTGTTGTGGGAGGGATGGGGAAAGAGGAGTACCACAGCCAAGCAGTTTGCAGGTCTGGCCGCTCGGTTGGCCAGAACTCAGACATGCAGCCACACGGTGTGCAGGGGAAGATTGGGGAACATGTTTACACATGCGTCTGGGAGGAAGAGGCGAGCATGGAAGCGATGACTACTCACACCCCAGGATCCTCGGGACACAGCAGCAGGCCTTGAGGTCTCCAGGGTACCAGAGCTGAGCTGCTTCCCTAGAAGAGACCACATGGCCATGGTCTCGTCTGGGTCCTGGGTTTGGGGTTGGTGGCAGGTCAACAGAGCTTGCGTGGGGAATCAGGTAGGGTAAGCTAATCTGTTGTAAGAGACGGACCGATATATTCCTGGTTACAATGATATTTATTGTATACCGACTATGTGCCAGGCACAGTGCTCATTTAATTTCCAGAACAGTCCTGTGGGGTGGGTGTTTATTCCCGTTTTACAGATGCTGTAGTGGAATCTCACGTAAAGAGCACTGGGAGAAAGTGGAGTTTAGTGGCAAAGCCGGGTCTGACCCCTTGTCTGTTGCGTCTGTCAGTGTCCATGCACCTGTTTGATACACACGGAACTGATTCAGCCTCCTGCCGGAGCATCTCAGGGAGAAATAAGTGAGCTTATCAGTTTAGTATTTGCCAAGGTTGGCAGACGTTCCTTTGTCATTTTGTCAAAAAAGTTCAGGGAACCGAGGTGGGTAATTGAATGCCAACTATTCCTAAAGGGTAAGCATTAGGTGTGTAACTTGAAAACCAGATGTTATTCGTGCAAAGTGAGTGCTCCGGGGCTCTGTGCTTGCGCAGTGAGCACTCAGGCGTGGTACTTAGAAAGTCAGATGTACTCTTCCCTCCCAAGGGACTCATAGTTAAATGGGGGTATCACAAAGCGTGTTCCTTAGAGAGGTTTAGGCCAGGCATGGTGGCTCAAGCCTGTAATCTCGGCACTTTGGGAGGCCGAGGCGGGTGGATCATGAGGTGAAGAGATCGAGACCATCCTGGTCAGCATGGTGAAACTCCGTCTCCACTAAAGATACAAAAAATTAGCTGGGCATGGTGGCGCGTGCCTGTAATCCCAGCTACTCAGGAGACTGAGACAGGAGAATAGCCTGAACCCAGGAGGTGGAGGTTGCGGTGAGCTGAGATCGCGCCGTTGCACTCCAGCCTGGGTAACAAGAGTGAAACTCCGTCTCAAAAAAAAAAAAAAAAAAAAATAGAGAGGTTTATGTCTTGTCCTGTGTTTGGATGGGGGAAGAGATGCCATTGTAGGGGTGGGTAGTTTCAGGAAGGACCTCTGTGTAGGAGACAGGCATCTGGCTGGAAAGGCAGGAAGGATGCAGATGGATTTGGTGGTGGCAGGTCGGAGGTGGGAATGGACAGAGGGAACTGCGAGCAAAGGGACAGGCCAGAGTGGCCAGGCACATTCCACGGAGTCTGTGCAGTTTTTATGTGCAACATTGGTAGACTGCTCGCCTCCTAGAGCAGTGCTTTAAGATGCAGAGACACTGAGGACTAGCTGGCCGGCTGGGAGCCCGGGATGTCACAGATTGGAAGCCTTAGGAGCACAAGGATCTCTGAGTCGCCAGGGCCAGGTAGTTAGTCACAGTAGTGACCACGCAGCAGCTATTTGTGTGTGATGAGTATTCCCTGTTGCCAGGGACTGTGCTATGCAGATTGTATCAGTGATCCCTACAGCCCAGTAAGATATTGTTACTCTGTCCATTTTCCTGATGGGGACACTGAGGCATGGCCCCTCAGCTGCTGTTCTTTGGATGAATGAATGGACGGTTTGCCTCGTTGGGAGGTCTGTCCTGTTGGAAGGGGAGAGGGCGCCATGGAGAGGGAGGAGCAAGTTCAGATCCCTTCCCCTCCACTTCCTTGTAACCCCGCAGGCCTCTGTCCATACTGAAGGAGGGTGTGCAGGAGATAGAGCGCGTGGTGTCTCCAACACATGGCCTGGCCGTAGTGTACACAGCCTTTCTCGGTATGGACACAGGCCCTAAGAATCCTAGCCCACTCTGTGGCCTGTGAAGAGTGATGGTAATGTGGGCTGGCTACTGGACTCAGCCCGGTGAGCTCCTGGTGGGCCTTCCACCAGAGGCCCCTGGTACTCCGCATTCCAGACCTGAGGTTTCTGAGCTGTGGCTCACAGGGGCCCTTTCTTGAACTTTCCCTTCAGGGAGGCCTGGTTGGAAGGCCCAGTCTGGGCCTGTGCTGTCTGGAAGTTGGTCCCATCAGGCTGAGCCCACGGCCAGGGGCACAATTGGGCACCTTCTAGGTAACGCGGATGTGGTGCTCTGCCTGGTGTCTGCAGCGGGATCTCAGCTGGTGGGTTACTGGGACAGGGCTGCCCGCTGGAGAGGGGAACAATGTCTTGTTGACATCTGTTTGTTGCTCTGGTTGGTTCACGTTTCATGACCCTGTGACTGAGGCTTGCTTCAGCGTGGGAAAATGGAAGAGCTCGAACTGCCCCAGAAAGCTGGTGGTGACTGAGGTGGCGACTGAGCTCGGGGAGTCCTGGCAGGGCCAGACACAGCCCAGAGCCAGATGATATTGATGTCCAAGGTGGAGTGGAAGGGACCGCAGAGTAACTGTGACTGTTCCCTCCAGTTGTTGTCGGACCCTTAGACCTGTGTTTCATCCTCTCATCAGCTCTGTGAGGAGGGAGCAGGAAACGGAGACCTTGAGAGTTTAAGGTTACACAACTGGAACCCGGGCAGCCTAGCTCCGGGCCGACCTCCAGACGTCACGATGACTCCTTGGTGGGGTTTGAGCAAGGATAGTGCACACTTGCATGGTGCCTGTTGTGTGCCAGGCACTACTCTGAGCCTTCGTGCAGGTGAGCACTCACCCAGTCCTCACGATGCCTCTGGGAGGTGGTGCTGTCGTTGTCCCCATTTTACAGATGAGCAAACTGAGGCCCAGAGAGGGGAGGTCTCTACTTACCCAGCTTGTAATAATAATGGTGGAGCTAAGATTTGACCCCAGGCTGTCTGGCTCCTGAGTATCACTGCATGTGGCTGGTAAGCAGGGTTTCGGGGCTCCAAAGCAGAATGTTAGAAAGGCCCAAAGTGGCCAGGTTGGCTCTGAGCGGAGAGAAGGGCCTTGCAGAAGAGAGCGTGTGGACAGAGCAGCCACCCTGACTGGACTGGGGCCCCTTCCTGGAGCTTCCTGGGCCAGCTTCCTACAGACCTGTCTCTGCAGGAGCCACGGCAGAAGATCGCTTCTCACCTGCCCTCGTTGGACTGGGGTAGTCACCTCAGCCTCCTTGCCTGAGACTACTTGACCCTGCAGGGCGCTCTGTCTCAGCCTGCGGTGAGGACATGACCACAGCAAGCATGAATTCCAAAGTCCACCTTGGAGCGAGCCGCCCACCCTGCCTGGCTTCTGGCCCCGGCTCTCCGGGGCCTCTGACCTTTGGCACACACCTTTTCTTTCTGCTTGGACCACCCCCCCGGCCCCGCCACAGTCAGTGGTTTTTCAGGGCCCCCTTCCCCAGTCGGAGCCAGGGTTTGCTCCCCTGTGGCACGGTACCACCCCAGCTGGTCAGCCAGGGTGCCTTTGCCTCTCTGCCTTCTCCACTCACATTCACCTCCCCTCTCTTGTAAAAGCAAAACTGAAGCCATCATACAGGGATGATGACAATCTTCGAAAATTAAGAAGGAAACCAATCCTCCCAGAATCCCACCACCTGGAAGTCAGCCATATTAACATTGAGGGGTGGAGCCCTCGACCCTTTCTCCTAAATGAGTGCTGGTGACAATAGGTACCCAGGGAGCAGGAGGAATGTTTCTTCTCGGTTGGCCTCCATCAACCAGGTGCCGACCCACACTTCTGACAACCCACATCATGTCTCGAGAAGGCTCTGCCACATGTCCTGAGAAGGCTCTGCCACATGTCCCTGGAGACCACACTGCCCCTGGGTAAGAACTGCAGTGTTTATTCATTTAATCATCACACCTACCTGTGAGGTCCCATTTTCTGAGCAGGCAGGGGCCGCCCGGGCTGGCACATGACAGAGCTGGGAATCCCTGCACCGTCTTACAGTTACGTTGTTTCTTCAGAACTGGCCCAGAGGAGGGATGAAAAATGGTGCCGGGGGCTTTAGGAGCCCTTTCCCCGTGTCTGGCACGGTGTGGGGCCAGGAGCTGGTGGACCACGGTACCCCAGGGCCCCAGAAGGAAATCCCGGCTGGCTCAGGCGTTGGCAAGCTCCCCTCTACCTTTGATCCCTCCCAACTGACTTCCCTCTCACTGTCCCTGCCTTCGTCCTGATGACTCAGGACTTCAGAGATCTGGTTGTTGAAAAGGAGAATTACATCATGCCAATGAGAGAGAGAGAGATTAGCATTAGAAAGTTTTGGTGTAAGGTAAAATGACTTCAGAACCTTCTTGCACCCTGTCTGAATTGAAACAGGTTTCTAGGAAGATTAGGGAGTAGGGAGGAAAGGGGGTCGACCCTCTTCTAAAAGGGGCTTCTTCGTCTGCTTGACCCAAGCCCCACCCACAGCTGGGCAGTGGGTCCCTCTGCTTTTTGTAGGTGATTGAACCCCATCCCCTGAAAGCTATAAAAGAAGGTTCTGGAGTTGCATGCAAGTTCTGCCCGCAAGCTTGGGGAAGGGATAGGGGTCAGGGAGCATTGCAAAGATGAACAGTTGGAGGTTCTTCTGAAGCCCAGCGGTAAGCAGGGCACCCTCTCTAGGCCAGCACAGCCCTGGCTGTGGACACGGCTAGGCGAGGGGATCCCAGCTGTTCTTATCCCCGCTGGGCTGCGGTGGGTGCTTCTACCTAGGGCCAGCCCTGCTCAGCCATTCTGGGAAGCCTTACTTGGAGGGGTCTTCCCTGAGGATTGGGGAGGAGGAACCCCCCTGCCTCCACATTGAAACCCGACCACCATTTCCCCGTTATGCCCTCAGGGAGGTGGAGGCATTAAAGCCGCTGCCTGCCCAGCTCAGTTCTTCCCTAAAACAGGACACTGATCAGACAAGGTGATTAGGAGGGCTGGCCAGGCTTTTTTGATCCAGACATTTGATATGAGCCCATTTGACCAGTGGTGTGGTCCACCTCTGTTTCCTCATCTGAAAGCTGGGGGTGTAAGAGTAGCCACACTCCAGGTTGCCCGGAGAAGAAAGGAGAGAATACACGCAGGCACTTAGTGGAGTGTGGACATGCAGTATGTGCTCAGCACATGTTTCGGCCATCACCATCATCATCATCACCACCCCACCATCACTCTCACCACCACCGTCACCATCACTACCATCACTGTCACCCTCACCACCACCATCATCACCATCGCTATTGTGGCTGCTGCTTCTCGGTATTGGGTTTGCCCACCTATATACTTGCCTGGTTCCTGCAGGACTATGAACTTGAAGGCAGGGCTTGGGTCCATTTCTCTAGGAATACCCGATGCTAATAAAAGCCTTTGAGTGTCTGTTGATGCATGGTGGGGGATCTTGACACCCCAGGCTGTGAAGGGACAGGAAAGTTACAGTTTTTTTGGAAACCTTCTGGTGACTTTGGAGTCAAGGGAAGCTCCTCCCAGGTGTGCCTGTGACCCTGCACTGTGACCCCAGGCATCATTATTTGGAATGCGCCCTCAGCTACCAAGTTGTCAACCCAAACAAGATAGAACCCGCCTTTGGGAGGATTAAGATATTATTGGTGGTTTTCACCTCAGCTTTCAGCAGCAGTGCTTGGGAAATAAGATTTTGATCTCGGAAAATATGATTTAAAAACAGAATTGAAAGTCGCTTTTATTTTCTAAACGATATTGCCCCTGACGCCTCTAACGGGTGGCCTCTGGTCTGAGCACACTCGTGGGGGAAACTGTGTAGCAGGTCCAGGGCTGTGCTCTCTGGATTTTAGAGACCTCCACCTTGAGCAGGCTTCGCCTTTGATCCCCCACTCAGGTCTGCAGTGATGGAGCACCTGCTTCAGACCAAGCCCGGGAGTCTGCCGTCTCTGTGGGGACAGCTCACTGTGTGGTCTCAGCCTTGCTAACTCTTAGGAGGTTGCCCTGTTGGCTGCCAGCTGGAGGGGTCTTCTTCCTCTGAGCCCTGCTGAGCCCACCTTTCAATGCCGAACACCAAACCCATGGACCACGTGGCTTTGGCCACGTCCCAGTGTCCCCTCCAGTGGGGAAGGGCAGTTCGTTTCCTTCCTGTTGTGTGAGGACTAGAGGCACTGAGTATCCACAAGGCCACACTGTGGAGCCTTTGAGAGGTGAGGTCTGGCTCCCCTGGCCACCCCAGAGTTCACACAGGGTCCTGTGTGTCTGTCTTTGCCTCTGGGCCCATGTTCTATTCTTTCCAGCCTTTGCCTCGGAAACCCCACCCTCCATTCTTTTCTGTCTCCCCAGCCTTCTGGGTGGGTCTGGCCAGTAGAGAGCCTGGGGGAGATGGAGGAGGGGAGGAGAGTGAGTGGGGGTATTTATTCCCTGCTCCCCTTTCCTTGGGGTTGCCATGGGTAGGCGGCACCTCTCAGCCACTCCTCTAGTCATGTCACCCCCTCTACCCAGGTTTTTCTGTAACTGCTCCTTCCCCTGTACTTTGAGGCCCAGGGATAGGAGTACATGGGGGAGAAATGAAGTGACCTCTATCCTGGTTTGCCCAGGACTGTCCCAGGTTTTTGCAGTGACAGTCCTGTGGCCTGTGAAGTCCCTCAGTCCCGGGCACACTTGGACAGTTGGTCACCGTGGGTAGAAAAACCATCTTTGGTCGTCTGTACTCTGCCCACATCTTTATATATTGTCCTTTTGTTAAAATTTCCTCAGATTGCACCATTTTGCATCTGCTGTCTGTGTCCTCCCAGGACCCTGGCTGATACACCAGGAGCTTGAGGAGATGGAGTGGAGTTCAGGGAGTTCAGAGCAGCGAAACGGGCATCATGCTGAACTGAGAGAAGCGAAAGAATCTCTTGGACTTGGACTCTGTTCTGAAAATTTTCCCCCTGCGAAGAAAAATGCTGGTGGTGATGATGATGATGATGGTAGTGGCCATTTCTTTGCCTACTCACTGTGGGCTTGCTGTCAAGAACTCTGATGCCCTGTTGTGTGTGGTCATTCTGACAATCCTGTGAGGTTTTTCAATGATGAAGGAAACAGGCTTAGAGAGTCGATGTGGTTTGTGAAGGCTCAGGGTGGGCAAGCGGTCCCACCCAGGCTTGAACCCAGATGCAGCCGCCTGCGAGGTTACCATGCTTCCTGCTGAGGTGTTTTGTAACCAAGGCCAAGCTGGACAAAACCCACGGTTTTGTGACTTCTGGCTTGGGTTGGGTGTCTTGTTGAGTATGTGGGCAGTGGATCTGATGTTTTCTGCTTCCTACCGTGTGGCAGGGCTGTGTGCATGGAGCATGAGGGGCTGGCTGGGCAGACAGGACTGATTTGGCTGAATTCAGCCATGGCCCATGTCGGAAACTGTTAGTTTATTTTTCCTTCTCTGTTTGCCCTCCCCACCCCTCTTTTTTTTTTGAGACAAAGTCTCACTCTGTCACCAGGCTGGAGTGCAGTGGTGCGATCTCTGCTCACTGCAATCTCTGTCACCTGGGTTCAAGGGAGTCTCCTGCCTCAGCCTCCTGAGTAGCTGGGACTATAGGCGCACCCCACCACGCCTGGCTGATTTTTGTATTTTTAGTAGAGATGGGCTTTCACAATGTTGGCCAAGATGGTCTTGATCTCTTGACCTAGTGATCTGCCCACCTTGACCTCCCAAAGTGCTGGGATTACAAGTGTGAGCCACTGTGCCCAGCCCTTTTTAAGAAATGTTTATAATTACAATCAGAGCTAGCCATAGTTGGAAGGGAACTTGCAGGTCGTCTAGTTCTGGGATGGCAAAGACACGGCACAGGTGTTACCACTCTTCATGGCCTTGACTGTGGTAGACATTGCTAATCAACCCTGGTGTAATCAGTCTTCCAAGTGAGCTCAGAGACAGACACTATTAATCAATTGTTATTGGCATGCAGCAGGAATCCTGCTTGCCGTTCTTGATGTAGTCCAGCTTCTCTTACTAAGAACATAAAGCCCAGAGTCGTTAAATAACCCTCAAGGGAGCCAGTGGGATTTTGGAGCCTTCTCCACACCAGAGTGTTTGCTCTTAAGGGATGACTTTGGGTTAAAAGTCTGATGTCTAAACAAAATGTGGTATAGAGGAAGACACCTGGATTTGCAAAGCAGTGCCTGGATCTGGGTTCAGATCCCAGCGATGCTTCTTATTGCTTGTAACTCTGGGTAGATCACATGACTTCTCTGACCCTTGTCTTGGAAACTGAAATTACAATCCCTGCATCCCAGGATTGTGAGAATTAATGATGTGTTGAATGTACTGGGCACTGATCTAGGCATTGCATGTTGCGGTGAGCTGTGTATGAGGTCCCTGCTCTCAGGGAGCTGGCTGCCCTCATAAAGAGGAGGCTAGTTTTCTTCCTCTTTCCTCCTTGGAAATTCACGGACCTGTATTGTCATCGTTATCTTTTAACTTCTATTGTGTCCACTTAAATTTTGGTCCATTTATACATCACATGACTTGCTTTGGGAAGTGATTTATTTTTTTTTTCATTCCTGGTCTCATTTCCATTCTTATATCTGGGCAGGTGGTTAGTGAGTCTTTGTCAGTCACAAAAAATCAAAATGACAGGCTCTTCCCTTCTGAATGGATGCTCTGGGGTACTGGATCTAGACTTGGGAGTGACATACTATCTTTGAAAACCTTCTGAAAGCTATGAATCCTTCTGCTGGCAAAATGGTAAGACAGCAGGGCTTATAAAACTTAGCAACTATATGTTTTTTAGCTTCCGTAATGTAGGCATTCTTAGGGATTCATGGACACCCCCCTCCCTAGGGTAATAAACCAGGCTAGGGGGTCAGTGACGCTTCCCCAGCCGGAAATGGAGCTTTGCGTGGAAATAAACATATAAGTGATAAAACCAAGTTTCATTAAGTAGAAGGATCAAGGTTTTTATTCAGAGTTCTGCTCCTTTGGCCAGGGCAGTGTGAGGCTTTTCTCTGTAGCGTTTTCTGCACTTGCTCGAGCTGTGTTTAGTCTTCTTGGTTATGGTGAAATATTTTTTCTTTTATCCCAGTCTGGAGTTTCAAGGTTGGTACTTCTTGCCCCTAAAATGTTTGTTTCAAGATTTAAAGCAGTTCTTCACTCTTTGATAAGGTGGAACGCATCACTGGAGACACGTTGTGGTCAAGTCCGAGGGCTGTTCTGGCGGAATCAGGCAGATGGTGGCTCACTGCTCAGCTCTGGCTCTCAGTGTGACCTTGAGCTGCCTCACCTCCCTGACCTGTAAATCGGAGGGACAGAGTGACCACAGACCCTTGATGAGCAACGATTAAAGAATACTGAGCATGAGAAAATATGCCCAAAGAGTTTCCACAAAGGCCAAGGCAGGCTTGGCATTTGAATGCCTGGAATTTGGGAAGTATGGATCTTCTATTGAGTCTGTATCATGGAGGCTACCTGGCAAATTCAGCTGATGTGAGCGGAGCAGTGGACAATGAGTGCAGGTCTAATGGGCTCCTTCCTTCTGGATACCAGGGATTTTACCTTCACTAAGGGTAAGCAAGCACCTCTGAGAGAAGCTGAGGGTCTTCCTTGGTTGCTAACATTTAAAGGACCCCAATCAACGAGTTTCCTCATTGTCTTTGATTCTAGCTGGTCCCCATCTTTAGCCACACCCTGGAGCAAAACGTCACTTAAGTGACTCGAGAGGGAGAGAGTTCCATGGGCCATTTCAGATTTAGACATGGAATTTTTCTGGGATAATTTCTCTGCCACTGCATTTTGCATTTGCATGTTCTAAAGCCAAAAAAAGGAGTTGAACTTTCCCTTTTGTTTGCTTCATTACTCCCACTATGTTTGGCGGGATGGCGGTTGTGGTTTTATTCTCAGATTCGTTTTTATAAGTGTGCTGTGCGTGTGGAGTCCTCTCTCCTCCCTGAGGATTTTGTAGGATGATTCAAGCCGGCTGTCTCCCCAGCTGGGTACCAATTGCCAGGGCCAGACCTGGTGAAATAATGAAACCTGCTAATTCTCAGGCACCTGTGATGTGCCAGGCACTTATTCAACCCCCTGGGTAGGCAGCGTCCCTGTGTTTCAGGAGAGGGGACAGGCTCCCCAGGCCCTTGGCCTCCAGGGTCACATGGCTGTGGGTCGTGGAGCTATGATGCACGCCAAGATCAGGCAGACTCGAGCTCATGTGCCTTCTCGTAGGCTCCACCGCTCCTCCTGGGACCTCAGGGGACTTCCCAGGGGTCCTGTATGTACCTACCTTCATATGGCTCCATCTAAGGAAAAATGAAGTAGGTGTTGGTTGGACAGCAAGGCAGGCCTTGGAGAGTTCTCCTTCATTTCTCCTGCCCATCAGCCTCCTTGCCAAGCTTGGGTGCAGCCAGGATTTTCCTACTCCCTTGAGTTACCTGTCTGGGGTGGCCTTTTCTAGATAGACAGCTCAGAGAGGAAGTTAGGGCTCCATCCACCTCACCTCTGTGACCTTCTGAGGGAGCCACGGTGGGTGTGTTTACAGTAGCTTTGTCATTGGTCTCCCCGTTTCACAGGTGAGAAAAGGAAGCTCCCCAGAGAAGTGGCCTGGGCAGTGAGAGGTGGCCAGTTGAGCCATAGCTCTTCCTAATGGGGGCTTGCTGCCCCTTTACCTGGGGGTGGGCGTCACTTGCCAGCACCTTCCTAGAATTAGCTCTGAGACTGAAGAGAGAAAAGGTGAGATCTGGTCACAGGCTCCACATCTGGCCTGATGGGGCTGATGCCTTGATTTCACATTTGGGGAAACTGAGGCCCAGGAAGAGAGACTGCTCCAGTCACTATCCCTACCCTGGTTCAGCACCCTGTTTTCTCACTTTGTCTACTTGATGGTGTGACCAGGTAAATCTTGATCAGGAAATGAGGGAAGGTCTCATTCATTCATTCATTCATTCATTTTGTCAGTTGAAGTTCTAAGGTTAAAAAATAAATTTTTTATTGTGGTAAAATAAACATAACACAATATTTATCATTTTGACCATTTGTAAGTGTACAATTCAACAGCGTTCAATACATTCTCAATCACCGCTGTCTATACCCAGAACCTTTTCTTTCTTTTTCTGAGACAGAGTTTTGCTCTTGTTACCCAGGCTGGAGTGCAATGGCGCGATCTCGGCTCACCGCAACCTCTGCCTCCTGGGTTCAGGCAATTCTCCTGCCTCAGCCTCCCGAGTGGCTGGGATTACAGCCACGCGCCACCATGCCCAACTAATTTGTTGTATTTTTAGTAGAGACAGGGTTTCACCATGTTGACCAGGATGGTCTCGATCTGTTGACCTTGTGATCCACCCGCCTTGGCCTCCCAAAGTGCTGGGATTACAGGCTTGAGCCACCGCGCCCGGCCAACCTTTTCATCATCCCTAACGTGAACTCTGTACTCATTAAACATTACCCATTCTCTCCTGGTCCCAGCCCCTGGTCACTGCTATTCTACTTGCTGTTTCAATGAGTTTGCCTATTGAAGTACCTGAGCTAAGTGGAATCATCCAGCATTTGTACTTCTGTGTCTGGCTAATGTCACTTAGTATGAGGTTTTTACGTTCCACCCATCTGGTAGCACATGCCAGAATTTCCTTCCTTTTCAAGGCCAAATAATGTTCCATTGAGTTTTTAGACCACAGTTGACTGACCCATTCTGTCGACGGACACTTGAGTTGTTTCCTTGTTGGCTGTTGTGAATAGTGCTGCTCTGAACATTGTTACAAGTATTTGTTATCGTCCCCGCTTTTGGTTTTTTTGGATATACACCTAGGAGTGGACGTTTATTTTTTAAAGATGTTCACCCCCCTCACCCATTACATGAAGAACTCAGATTTATTGTAGAACCATTAGATAGCACAAATAAATGGAAGAAAACAAAATCCACCTAGAATGCCGACCCCCAGGGATGGTGATTAACACTGTTGTAGGTGTTCGTTTGTCTGTGCCGCTTTTCCCATCTGTACTTGGCGATGCTGTACCTGTGCAGTCTCTGGTAGTGTGAGTCGGATCTTCATTAGAAATATATAAACCCAGGCCTGAGGCCCTGGGGTGGAGGGAGGGGATGCCAGCTGGGCTTTCCACTACCTCTAGAAAGCATCCTTGATAGGGGCAGGGCATACCCTGTGTCTGACGCTGTGTCCCGCTTTGCTTCTTTTTCCTGTTCTCTGTCCCCGGACTGGACTGTGTATGTTTGTCACTGGTTTCTAATACTCACTGTCCTGAGAAGACTGCCTCTCATGGTGCCTGGTTGTGGTTAGCGTTCAATAAATATTTGTTGAATGAGCCAAAAAGAAGTGATTGATCGAATGAATGAATGAGAGAAGTTACCGAGCGTGCTGACCTTGGGCCTGGATCAGCTGAGTAGTGAGATGGCCTTTCTGGCTAGACCATTTCACCTGTAGCCTGCAGCAGGCGTGTTGGTGGAGGTGACTGGGCAGAGTGACTTAGCACAGTGAACTGTCCTTGCTGTCACCTGTGGGAAAGGTGGGGGCTGTAGCTGTGACTCTGGCTCAGACAGACAGCAGGGCCCTGTGAGTTCCCTCATTCCAGACCTTTGCTCAGGGTATTCTGGGTGTCAGGTGCTTGGCTGAGGGCTGGGCTGTGGGGTGAACCAAATACACCCCCCCAGGAGCACTTTCGTTCCAGTGGGGGTGACAACCCCTGCAGAAAAGAACCTGGTAATTTCAGATAGCAGGAAGTCGGTGATGAAAAATACATCCTTGTTCTTTCCTTTCTTCTCTCTTCTTTTCATTCTTTTTTTGGAGGCAGGATCTTGCTCTGTCACCTAGGCTAAAGTGCAGTGGCACAATCACAGCTTGCTGCCGTCTCAGCTTCCTGGGCTCAGGTGATCCTCCCACCTCAGCCTCTTGAGTAGCTGGGACTACGGGTGTGTACTACCACCTCCAGCTAATTTTTAAATTTTTGGTAGAGATGGGGTTTCGCCATCTTGCCCAGGCTGGCCTGGAACTCCTGTGATCAAGTGATCCTCCCGCCTTGGCCTCACGAAAGTATTGGGATTACAGGGATGAGCCACTGTGCCTGGCCTCTTTCCTGTTTTAGAAAAATTAGTTCATTTGGCTGTTTCTTGGTTGATTGGAGCCCAGGGACGTGCAGTTACTGTGTTTGAATCTTAGCTCCACCACTTACAAGTGCTGATCTTAGCAATGGTCATAAGCTTGGCAATCCTCAGTTTCCTTGTCTGTGTAATAAAAGGTGGGGGTGTGCCTGCTTCACAGGGTTATCATGAGGCATCACTGAGACATTGCTCAGCAAGCACTTCTTACTGGTATTACTATGGACGGGCCATTATTGAGTAATGAGTCTAAAGGCTACGTGGTGTAGAAATGACAAAACCAATGCCATCCAGTTGATTGGTGATTTGTCCGGGATGGGGCAAGTTAATGCGTTGACTTTGGGGGACTTAGCACGGCACCATTTCCCGAGTGACTTTGGCTGAACGGAATTTGTTCAGCCAAAGATTCTGCCTCCTCCCTGGGAACTAGGAACAAAAGAGCCTTGCTTGAAAGAGGCTGTTGTTCCTTCCCCAAGCTTAGAAAGCCAAAGTCCAGTTTCTGCAGCCCGTTCCAGGAGTTATGTGGCAGGGCCAGACCTTTTCCTTTTTTCTTGTGCCTCATTTTGGGTCAGTTCTTCTGGTTAGATGATTGAGATGACCAGAACATACAGGAAAATAAACAAACAGAAACCCCAGACTGCCCTCTGAAGCTGCCTGTCCTTGCCAGGCAGGGACAAGGATTTTCTTGGGCTCTAGGAGTTTTAATTTTTTTATTTTTGGTGCCCAGGCTGGAGTGCAGTGGCACGGTCTTGGCTCACTGCAACCTGTGCCTCCCGGGTTCAAGCGATTCTCCTCCTCAGCCTCACGGATCACCGCAGTCTCCACCTCCCAGGCTCCAGCGATCCTCCCACCTCAGCCTCCACAGCGTGGTGCACCACCGCACTTGGCCCTTGCTCCTTTGTTTGTAATGTGGGGCTCCCGTGGGCCTCTAGTCCAGATGAACAAGACTTTGAAATGCAGGATCGGGGCGACCTTTTGGGTGGCTTTTTGGTGCCCAAGATAATGAGGAGCGGGCCTTCCTGGGCAGGGCACGGAGGGCTGGGGAGGCAGAGGCCGTGGTTCTCCATGTTCACCTTGGGTTCCCAAGCCTGTCTTTGAGATAAGTGGTAAAGTGGTCTCACTCTCCCATTGCCCACTCAGACCCCCAGGTGATGTGTCAGTTTTCCAGAAGTAAAGCGCAAACTCGGAGAGAGGCTGGGGCCGGAGTTCCAGCCCTGCTGTCCCATTTGCATGTGCCTCCGTCTCCTTGTGGGTAAATTGAGGCCAAGGACGGAACTTTCTGCACATTGTAGGGGAGAATGACGTGAAAAGATGCACCCAAGACCTCTTGCAGGGGCCTGTGCTGCTGTGTCCTCTGTGCTTTCGGGGTGTTCTCTAACTGAGCAGTTAGGCATCATGCCTGAAGTATGCACTTATGGGGCACCTACTGGGTACCAGGCATTGTGCTAAGGGTTAGGAGTGTGGAGGTAACCGCATGGGGGGAGAGAGTTATGGACAGTTGATTCCAGCGCCGGCAAACAAGGGTGACTCAGGGTGGACGCTCGGGGGAAGCACCATGGTCCCTGGAGAGAAGGCTGCTGATCCGAGGATGGGTCTGCCTGGGCCAGAAGGAGAAAGCAGGGAGGAGCATTCCGGGCAGAACATGGCGTTGAGACAGCCCGGGAGGCCTGGCAGGGCCTGGTACATGCTGCATGGGCCTCAAGAATGTTGAGTGGACTGGGGGAGGGTAGAACTGTGCGGGGCAGACCCGGTGAACTGCCTGCACGCTGGCCTCGGGACTTTGGACTTTAGCATGGAAGCCATATTCCAGGAATGCCCCATGAACATCTTGTTCCTTCCTACCCCGCCTTGAGAGGACCTAGTTCTTTGCCCTGATTTGGATCAGCCTTAGGCCCCCAAGAACCAGGGAATGGCTGAGCTGATCACGAGGGTGGGGCCCAGTTTGTTGCCAGGAGGAAAATGGCCCCTCTCCCTCAACCTTTGGGGTTGGTAGGGAAATCCAAAGGGGCAAGTAACTTTACCTCTGTGAGCTTTCGTTTCTCAGTACAGTGGGGCAGATAGTCGTACCGACTCCATGGGCTTCTGTGAAGGATTCAGTGAGATGATGCACATCTGGTATTAGCCTTGTGTCTGACACAGATAAAGCACACAGGAAAAAGAGAGGGCTCTTATTACTACCATTACCACCGTCATTGCTACTGTTGAGCAAGATTACAGAGGAGGGGACCTGACTACACCCAAGGTCAGAGGGGCCACAGAGGGCTTCCCAGGGCAGGTGACATCAGGCTTTGCCAGAATTGTGGGTTCACAGTTCTTTAGAGAACTCACTGTGTGTGACATGTTAGTTACTGAAATTAAATTGAACATGTTACTTACATTCTGATTACCAATGGGATAATAACACTCAACTTCCAGGCTGCCGTGGGAGTGTCAGAGCTACCAGGCCAATTCTGTTTGAACAGAGTTTCCTGAATGTCTTGGGTGGGTGGGATGAGGAGGGATGGAGACCGCCCTCTTTGGGCTCCTCTTGTCTCCTGTACTCTTGACCTTGTCTGGAGCCTGACAGCAGCAGCAGGTAAAGAGCAGGCCTCAGTGGTCACCTGCATTTCCTCTGGCCCTCGGTGGGGGCCCTTGCCTTGCCTGACAGTTCACCAAGTGCTGTGTGCTATCTTTTGCAGAAATTATGAGCAGGAGGAAGGACAAACCACTTCCTCTACAACCTTCAGATTTATCAGACACAACTTTTGACAGTTTCAGCTTGAAGAGACTTTGAAAAGAAAGATGTTGAAAGCAATAGGTGAATAAAGTGGAACCTGACCTCAGCTCTCTGCTGCTTCCACATTTGAGTCGAAGGCGCCTCAGGGATGCTGGGAGGGGCCCCCAGCGGTTTGAGAGGTGCCCCGTCCAGGCACCGCATCTCGGTGGCTTGTGTCCAGAGCCTTCTTTGCACGTGCAGCCTACTGGCTGTGTTGGCTGGGGTTCCAGGCATCTGCAGGGTGCCTGTCATGCCCTGTGACTAGTGGCGTTTGCACAGATGCCAGGTCACAGAGACAGATGTTTCAGAAGTTTGACCTCAAAACAGCTTTCTTTTCCCTTGGGTTGTCTGGACAAAGTGCTAAAAATAAGGCTGGATCTGAGCAGGCGCTGCTGACAGGCCACCTGGAGGTTCGAGTCCATTGTGAGGGTGGAATCTTGGGATTATGCTGGCTGGAGCCATAGGAAATTGAAATTAAAAAAAAAACTATTAAAAAAGAATATAAATGAGATCTTGCTGTGTTGCCCAGGCTGGTCTTGAACTCTTTGAGCTCAAGCAATCCTCCCACCTCGGTCTCCCATACTGCTGGGATTATGGGCATGATCCACTGTGCTCAGCCAAAATGGGAATTTTGTAAGTAGCAAATGGTTAAATAATGGTTCCATATAGTTGGATGTACTAGTTTGTTCATAAACACATTTCTTGACTTCTAGATGTCATCTCTTTGCTGTAGCCCTGAAAC